ACACGGTCTTAGGTGGGGGGGGGAACCAGGGGCAACGCATGTAACCTAAACATCTGTACACCCATAGTTTGCTGAAATAAAAAGAAAAAGAAATGAAAGAGGAGATATTACAACTGGTACCACAGAAATACAAAATGTCATCTCTGAATACTGTAAAAATCCCTGTGTACATAACCTCTAAACCGTTGAGGAAATGAGACAAATTCTTGGAAACACACAACCTCTCTAGGCGTAATCAGGAAGAAATAGAACTCCTGAACAGACTAACATCACATAACAAAATTGAAGCAGCAACAGAAAATGTCCCAACCAAAAAAGAAGTCCTGGACCGGATGGTTTCACAGCCAAATTTTATCAGATTTACAAAGAAGAATTGGTACCTGTACTGTAGAAATTATTTTATAACATCAAGAAAGGAGGAATCCTCCCTAACTCATTCTGTGAAGCCAGTATCACTTTGATACTAAAGCCAGGAAAGGATACAACAACAAAGAAAACTACAGACCAATATCCCTTGTGAATATAGATGAAAAAATTCTCTATAAAGTTGTAGTAAACCGAATTTAGCTGCACATCAAAAAAGTAATCTACCAGGACCAGGTGGGCTTCATCCTAGGGATTCAAGGATAGTTCAACATATGCAACTCTATAAATGTGATTCACCACATAAATAGAAGCAAAAATGAGGACCATATGATCCTGTGAATAGATGCAGAAAAAGCATTTGACATAATTCAGCACCATTTATAATTACAACTCTTAAAAAATAGGCATAGATGGAACATACCTCAATATTATAAAAGCAATACACAGCAAACCCAAAGCCAACATTGTACTGAAAGGAGAAAAATTTAGAGCATTCCCACTTCGAATTGGAATCAGAAAAATTTGCCCACTGTCACAACTTCTGTTTAACATAGTGCTGGAAGACCTAGCCAGAGCAATTAGGCAAGAGAAGAAAATCAACGGTATTCAAATGGGGAAAGAAGTGACATAAACTATTAACATTTTCCAAGCTCTTCTAGAGAAAGTCATTTATGCTTGGTATGCATTTGTAATTTAAGACATGCATATATAGTTATGTGCATATCTCTATGCATGTATGTGTGCAAAGGTGTAAATTAAAATATAGCATATATTATATACAAACATATGCATGTGGATTGAAAAGTCATTCTTTAAAATATTAGGTTCATATTACACATACTATTAAAGAACTTGCTGGTGTATATTAAACAATATTCCAGGTTGCCAGGTAAACGTCTAAGGTAATAGACACATGGGTAAATGATTTGATAGGACTAGTTACATATGAGTAAATGGAAATAGCTATTAAACTTATGAAAATAGCTTAGCAATAAAAAGTACAAATTAAACCTACATTATCCTGCATTAACCTTCTTGGAGGTTATCATCACTCTTTGCTGATGATATGATCTTATATCTAGAAACTGCCAAAGATTCTACCATGAGACTACGGAAATTGAGAAACAAATTCAGCAAAGTCTCGGGTTACAAAATCAATGTACACAAATCAATAGCATTCATATATGCCAACAATAGTCAAAACTGAGAAAGAAATCAAAGACTCACTACCCTTCACATGGTCATATGGTAATGCTCCTATTAAGTTTTTGGAGAAGCACTCTATTATTTTTCATAGTGGCTGTATCATTATGCATTCCCACGAGGAGTGTACAAGTTTCCTGATTTCTTCACATTCTAATAAACACTCACAATTTGCTGAATTTTTGAAACAACCATCCTAATGGGTGGAAGGTGGTGTCTCATTGTGGGTTTGATTTATATTACCCTAATGATCAGTGATGATGTGCATGTTTTCAAGTGCTTAAGCCATTCTTTATCGTCTCTGGTGAAATGTTCATTCTAGCACTTTGCACATATGTTTAATGAGTTTTTGTGTTTTTTTTCGTTTTATTGAGTTGTAGACATACTTTATATATTTTGGACATTAACTCTTAGCAGATACATGGTTCCAAATATTTTCTGCTATTCTGTGGGTTGTCTTTACACTCTTTTGATAGTGTCCTTGGATGTACAAAGCTGATTTTGGTGGTGAAGACCAACATATCTGTCTTTTCTTTCATTGCCTATGCTGTTGGTGTCATATTAAAGAAATCATTGCCAAATCCAATATCATGAAGACTTTCTGTCAGTAGTGAATTATAATTCAGCAAGTCAGTCCAATATTCCTAGATACAATATTTTCTATGAGCCATTGAGCCACCAGAGTCATTTGAAATATCAAAATCCTCTTCCCTCTTCTAAGATTTTCTAAACCACCAAGGAAAGAGAAACCAGAAAATAATTTTGGAACTTGATAAGTGTCAGTTAATTTAAAGAATGCATTAGTGCTGGATCTTGAGTGGGAGAGAGGTTGTGGATTAAAGACAGTGCTTACAAGGAAATTTATAGCACTGAATGTATATGAAGAAAGTCCCTTTCATGAAAAGGAGAGTGATATAAAATCAGTAATCTAAGCATCCACATTAGGAAACCGGAAAATGAGGAGCTAATTCATTCCTAAGTAAGCAGAAGAAAAGAAATCATAAAAATTAGAACAGAAATCAATGAAATTGGAAATAGGATATTAAAAATAAAAAAACTGCCTGTTTCCCAAACATTTGTTAACAAGTTAAAATTTTTTCATTTCCTAACCAAGAAGGTTAATGGAGGATAATGTAGGTTTAATTCGTACTTTTTATCGTTAAGCTATTTTCATAAGTTTAATAGCTATTTCCATTTACTTATATGTAACTAGTCCTATCAAATCATTTACCCATGTTTCTATTACCTTAGATGTTTACCTGGCAACCTGGCATATTGTTTAGTATACACCTGCAAGTTCTTTAATAGTATGTGTAATATGAACCCAATACTTTTTTTTTATTTCAGCATATTATGGAAGTACAGATGTTTAGGTTATGTATGTTGCCCTTGCCCCACTCCCCCCCTAAGTCTGAGTTTCAAATATGTCAATTCTTCGGGTGGTGCGCATTGCACTCTTTGTGTATGCATATACCCACCCGTTCCTCCCTCCTGCCCCCTACTCGCTCCCCCTGCCCAACATCCAATAGATGTTATTCTTTTTTTTTTATTTCAGCATATTATGGGGGTACAGATGTTTAGGTTACGTATGTTGCCCTTTTCCCCCTCCCCCCCTAAGTCCGAGTTTCAAATATGTCCATTCTTCCGGTGGTGCGCATTGCACTCTTTGTGTATGCGTATACCCGTCCCCTCCTCCCTCCTCCCCCCCTCCCCTGCCCAACATCCAATAGATGTTATTCTTATATGTGCACTTATGTGTTGATCAGTTAATACCAATTTGATGGTGAGTACATGTGGTGCTTGTCTTTCCATTCTTGGGATACCTCACTTAGTAGAATGCATTCCAGCTCTATCCAGGAGTATACAATAGGTGCTATATCACCATTGTTTCTTAAAGCTGAATAGTACTCCATGGTATACATATACCACGTTTTATTAATCCAGTCATGTATTGATGGACACTTGGATGAACCCAATCTTTTAAAGAATGACTTTTAAATCCACATGTATAAGTTTTTATATAATATATGCTATATTTTAATTTACACCTATGCACACATACATGCATAGAGACATGCACACAATTGTATATGTATTTCTTAAATTATGAATGCATGCCAAGCATAGATGGCTTTCTCTGGACGAGCTTTGAAAAAGTTAATAGGTAATGTAGTTTCTCATCATACTTCAAAACAGAAAAAACAGGGAAAGATGAGAAGAATTTGTCACATATACATGTTCACTTGTTGATGCTGTACAGATTCTATGAGACTTATTTTAGCACCAAAATGTCAAATTACTATCACATATATATTATGTGTAAAACATAGAGATAGAAACTAGGAGAATAATACAATCTGGTGAGGCTTTCCAGAGATGTTGTTCTTCTTTGGGGAGAGAATCATTACATTCAGAACACATGAGTAGCAATATGAAACCAAATATTCATAGTTGATTCTAAGTTGGATAGAGGGGTAAAAAGAACATTCCAAATCTTTACTTGGTATTTACAGTAACACTCAAGCAGTACAGGAATTCCAACACTTAATGTCCATTCCTAACTGTCACTGATCTTGTCAATATAAAGGTTAGAGCTGCCCCTGGACACAGGTTCTCTGTTTGAAGTGCAAACCTGCAGTAACTCTTGGTGACACTCCTCCAAGAGAGCTCCCCTACCCTCTTCCCCTTTGTCCCTCTCTGTGCTTATCACTATGAGGACCAGCATGGCCTCTGGGGACTCTTTTTTCTTTAATTTCTTACTTACATTACGCACAAAAGAAGAAAAGACTGCAATCAGACTCAGCAATTAATAACACCTTTTATTTAAAACATGCACAGGAGAAATGGCTCTGAATTAGCATACATTAATCATTTTACTGTGTTTTGTAGTGATAACATATTAACAACTCAACACTATGTAAATATTGTCACTTGTGGCAGTAAATACTGTGTTACATGGAGTGAGGAAGAGCAGATGCAGATACAGTTGTGTGTAAAATTACTGAAACTCACCTTAATGGACATTGGATGTTCACTACATCTTAAGGGAATGGGAAGATGTGAGACAACAGGCCAGGGAAGACATCCCTAATAATAGTAAGAGGTGGAGGATGCCATTCATAAGAGTGAGGCAGAAGGCAGCCACAGCAGGTAGATGACCTGACCTTCTTCACACAGGAATGAAGCAGATCTTGTACACGGGCGGGAAAGAAATAGCTGTAGCGGAACTCGAAGTGGTATCGAGCTTCTTTGGATCAATCAAAGATTTCAGTTTAAAGTTCTGTAAAATGCTGGTCAGGAATAAAAACAGCTCCATGCGGGCCAGTCCCTCTCCCACACAAATCCGTTTTCCTGAAAGTAATAAACACCAGGGGGAGTTACTACTTATGTGCAACTGTGACTGTAACAGGTGCTGTGCTTGTGACTGTCACTCTTTGATGAACTCTTTGATGAATGCTTGGATGGAAGAATGAATTGATGGATGGATGGGAAGATGACTGGATATTCAACTAAACAAAGAATAGGCACATTTGCCATCCACCTAACACCTGATCTTAACAAAGACCCTTCATTCAACAAATGTTCACTGAATAATAGCTCCATACCAAGCAATTCATTATGTATTCCCACATTATAACAGCTCCCTTGATGTTTGGACTTTAATCTATATATCTACAAAACCACATCCATATTCTCATGTTTCCTGTTCCTAGTCTGAAAATCCGTGATCTTTCCTTCCGCTCGTCATATCCACTATGCTCAGCTCAAGCCATACACACTCTTCGTCAGCCTCCAATACAAGAAGTTTGAAGGTTTATACTATGCTGTTCCTTTTGGCCATGATGCACTTTTCAGAGACTAAATTCAGGACACAGGTCAAATTCCATTTCTTCTTTGCACTCTTTGTCATGTACTCAAGTAATAAAATCCTGCCCTCTCTGCGTTTATTCAACATAATATCATCAGTTTCAATGAAGCATGGATCACCTGGAATCATAATTCCCTATTTCTTTCTTTACTTTATTAATTAATTTTCCTATCATGCTAAAATGTGACTTTTTGAAGGGAGCTTTCCATCTTTGACATCTTGGTATCTACAGTGCCAGATAAAGCAGACATAAATGGTCACAGAACAGACGAGATTTCATGGCCAGAAACTCAGCACATACACATTGCAAGAGTGGATATCCAATACCCAAGATGTATGATCATGAATGGAGGAACACCAGGGTGCTATGGAATCATTGCAGAGGATTTGGCCTCATTCACAATGTTTCCCTGGCCCCATGGATAGTTGGCAAAAGTTCTAACATCCTTGATTTAGATCAAATACCCTGCTCCTGTGATTCATTACCTCCTTGAAAATGCCCTACTTTCCCTTTTTTCCATTTTCTCTGCATCCTTTGAGGTAGCTGCTGTTAGAATGTTGCTTACTCCAGCTTATTGTGCCTCATTGTGGGGTATGAGAGAGCAAGAAGCAGGCAGCGTCTCCTTCTGTCCCCTACACACAGCAGCATGTGCTTTGCTTTCCTCTCTTACAGCCCAGTCCTAATGAATTACAATGGGCTGTTTATTCATCTGCTTTCCTAAGTGTGAATGTGGACCTTTGGTGCCCATTCTGTGCTTGTTGATATGTGAATCCCCAAAGCTCAGATGGGTGATGAGGACACCCAGTGAAAAACACTCACTGAAACTGTAGAGTGAGAACCTTTACATTGTCAGATGAGAAATGCCTAAATGAATTTTGCATTCTAGGATGAGTTCTTGAGTACCTCCGTGATATATCCAAGGCAGAATTCAATTTACCTATACTTCAGCCTTCCTGATTATGAAGAACCAGTTCAACTACCCAAAGCACCATGACTCTGGCCCAATAATGAGGATGTACAATGATGAAGGAAGTACATAGGCATTGGCAGTGGTGCTCCTGATCATGCACAAGGAGCGTTTCTACCAGCCCCAGAGGAGAATCCATGTAAGTTTCAACTAATCCCAGAAAGTTATCTTTCCCCCTGAAATAAAAAGGGAAATAAATTTCTATTACCTGTTGAGAAAGGCATGAAGAAGTTACTTTTTTTAAAGTGGCCACTTTCATCCAGAAAATGACCAGGGTCAAACTTCTCTGGATTGGGGAATTCTTTGTCATCGTGCAGCACAGATGTCAGGGATGCTAATATGGCTGTGCCCTGGAAGCAATAGACATAGGTAAACCAAGTTATGAAGGAGTCACAAAGCTGTAAAAAACAATAGTAATTACCTAGGTAAATCTTTTGACCTATAGATGAACACAGGTTCAAAGAAGAGCAGGAACATTTCAGACACACAGACCCAGTAATCAACAAGGATGAGTTTAAGACCAGTGGTGTGATCTTGCTAACATGGTCTCCAATCATGGTTGAAATCCTGAGCACTTGGTCACTGGGGTGATAAACCTTCTGAATCTGTTCTCCTTATCATCAAGGTTGCAACTCACGTCTATCCCCACAGGCTGCACTATTTCATCACTTCAGTTTTCACACATCCTATATATAGACTATGGTGTAAAACTGAAATCTCTGTTGGCATTTAAAATATCCAGAGTACCTGTTCGTAGGACTTTTTTAAAAACTAAATCATATGATCTAGTAAAGTTTAAAATGACATCTTCCAAAGTGAGTTATCACAAGAATGGAAGAATAAGCATCACATGTACTTGCCATCAAATTGACACTAACTGATCAACACTAAGGTGCTGACACAGTAGTAATATTCATTGTGGGTTAGGAGGCTGGAGGTGCGTAAACTCACAACTAATTAATGTGGTGAATTTGTATGGGGGAAGGGCACGCCTCCAATTCTGGCTTGGGTGAGGCAAAGTCATAACATGTAACCAAAAGGTTTGTACCCCCATAATATCCTGAAATAAAAAAAAAAAAGAAAAAGGAAAAAAGCCATTAGCATGTTTACTAGCAGGTCTGCTCAAATTACTAGTATGTTTACTTGAAGGTTCTCTGGGTCATGCTTTACTTCTGGCTTCCCTAGCAGGGAAGAGACAGTTTCCAACCTGCTGTTTTATCCTTTCCTCTACAGACCATTTATTTCTCAGTGATATGGACTTCTGAAAATATTTTTAAATGTTACACACATTGATATAGTTAGCCCTGTTCTTTGTCAATCTTTAATTTATCAGTTGCCAAAAATGAGTCCATACTTGAGAAGAAATATTATGTTCTCATGAAGATCATGAGCTCTTTGGTCATGTGACCTGGATTTGAATCTTGTCTCTAACACTCACTACTCTACGACCATACCACCCTGAACGTGTCCGATCTTGTCTAACACTCACTACTTACAGGACCTTGGATGAGTTTCTTAATTTCTCTTAGTTTAGTTCCCTCATTTGCCAGTTGGAGAAATTAATTCTACGTAATTCCTAAGGTCAACAAGTATTAAATAAATCAATGCAAATAAAGCCCTTAAAAGAAAAAAAATAAAATGACATCTTCTAATATGAAAACAAGAAGTACAGTAACAAGAATAAAACAATTGAGTGTTTATCATTGCCAAGCAGGTTTTTTGTCTTGATATAAAATCATGGGGGCAGATATTCCTAAGGGATTGATCCTAACTTAAAACCACAGAGGGACGATGAAATTAGAAAAATCCTCACTTTGTGACTATTCAGGTCAGGATCATCAGTTAAAGCTCAAATTGTTGGGGGTGTGATTTGGGAAGCAGGATTTACACAAAACCTTAAAGTTCTGTGCCATGGATATTTATTAATTATCCATAGACCTACATCACAAAACCTCTGCAATGCACAGATCTGGCAGATACCACCTTATTACTGAGGAAATGAGCATAACCAATAATGGCACAAGTGACATATGTGCCCCACCTCACCAATGAGATTCTGTGGGATACTCAAAGCACCTATGCCTTATTCTTCCCAAATCATAACTGGAATCGAATCTTTAGAACACAAAAACAGCCTAAGGAACATTATAAATGGCTACTAGCTTGGACTCCACAAAAAAATCAACATACTATTTAACTAAGGAGGTAAAAGACCTCTACAAGGAGAACTATGAAACATTGAGGAACGAAATATCCGAGGACGTAAACAGGTGGAGAACCATACCGTGCCCGTGGGTTGGCAGAATCAACATTGTTAAGATGTCTATACCATCCAAAGTGATCTACAGATTGAATGCAATCCCTATTAATATACCAACATCATTCTTCACAGATGTAGAAAAATTGATTTTACACTTTCTATGGAACAAGAGAAGACCCCGCATAGCAAAAACAATTCTAGACAATAAAAACAAAACAGGAGGTATCAACTTACCAGACGTCAAATGTTATTATAAGGCTGTAGTACTCAAAACATCTTCGTACTGGCACAAAAATAGAGCCATTGACCAGTGGAAGAGAACTCAGAACCCAGATATAAAACCATCCTCATATGGCGACCTAATCTTTGACAAAGAAGACAAAAACATACACTGGGGAAAAGAATTCTTATTCAATAAATGGTGCTGGGAAAACTG